TACACGAACTAATACATGCTGCACGAGATCGAAGATTGTGGAGAGGCATGATCGCCCCAGCCATTCGGCAATGCAGGTGATGATGATATAAAAGGTCGAATTTTTCTTTGCCATATCAGCCCCGGTTACCCAACCATCCACAGTTGCAACGTTATCCAACGTTTAATTTTTTTTTTTTTTTCAACTCAACCAAAAAATGTCACCATCCAACTTAATTTCCTAAAACCTAACGGCAACTTCCTGATTCCGAAAATAACAACTGTTTTATCAGAGACGTTAGCGAGGGATATCTGAGTGCAAACGAAGATTATAAAGAGAACGTTAATGGATTGCATGTAATTAAATGGAGTAATCGCGAAACAGCTCGCTGCATTCCAGCTGCAAGCTATTTGTTAACAGATCGCTTTGCGTTGATTTTATCAATGATATGTATCGCCAATGGATGAGTGGCAATGGCAAATTACTAAACTCACAAGTGCCTAGTAAAATCACCAACCGCTTAACAATGCTAGTGTTTTGATTTGAAACACCCTCTAAAGGATACACAATTATTTAAACAGCTACGTTAACTAGAGGTCTCAGCGCAAACGAAGATAGGAACTAGAATGCTAATGGGCTGCAACGTAATTCAACAGCGTGTTTTAAATGTTATCTCAGGGAAAGGACTCTTGTGAAAGGCGTTATTTTGTGATATCAAAGTGATTACACCAGCGAATCCTGATGTCCACTGTCTTGTCCCAAGGGAATATGCTTCTTTTGAAATTTACAGTTTATTTCTTATTGTTCATTGTTCCTTTTTGAGATCATTTTCAGCACACATCAGAGATGACCATAATTGCTCCGATCTCCTCTTGAGTATGTCTTCTAGAGTTTTTAGGCTAACAACTCCCATTCTGGTTGATGAAATATCGAGTGGCTCCCGCGTGGTTGTCAGCCTTGTCGCCCCAATTGGTGCACCCAAGATGTTCAGTATATTAAGGAAAACCTCATTTTCCACGAAGCTAAAAGCCTCACAGCGTTTAGTCTCTCGTACGGCAATAATGGTGTCTCTTCTGCACATAGAGGGGCGATTCCCGATAGTCGCACTGCCAGCCAGAGAGTCTGCTCTCTCATTGCCTTTCACTCCAGCATAACCTGGGACAAAAATGAAGGTGATTTTGCAAAACGTTGCGTGCTGTATCAGATGGAGCCACTGTTTCCGTATGTATGTATCCTGCTTTGATCTTCTATAACATGCTCACTGAGTCGTGGAGCAAACATACATTTGTGAATTCCTGAGTATTTAGCCATTCTAGGGCCTTTGTCACAGCCTTAACCTCCATTGTCATGCTGCTACAGTTTAAATGAATTGCGGCGTCCCACTGGCAGATGTGTCACTTTAGCTATATCTTATTTGCGGTTTGAGGTTTGAAGTTTGAACAACGGATCAACATCACGGCACGCGGGTAGTAACCCATAAGTGCTCAGTTTTCCTTCTAACTTAAGTTTGAGTCCGAAGAAGCATAGCACAGTGCACAAGCTGTGTAGTACCGGCGAGGATCTTGAAATATTTTGGGTAGATTTTCAACTCCAAATTTTGCCTGGGCTACTCTTTTTCGATTTCCAACTGCCAATTTGCAAACGGGCGTTCGATCTCACTACCTAGAGACCGGGGGGAATTACTAAGAATTACTTATCTGTGCTGCCCGTGTGTCACGGGGGCCCTCACAGGAAGCAAAGAACAGTGACACTGCACCCTACCAGGCATGTCGTAAGAGGCGACTAAGGGTAGGGTTGGGCTTGAGGTTGGCTACCTCATCCTGTAAAAACCATAGCCACAAAAACCAACCATCCATGGATAAGTCAAAAAGAGAAGCAAGTAAAATACAGCCAACCAAGATGAGGGGAGGCTCTTCAAATAGAAGAAGTATGACACGGTGTGGAGAAAGTCGCGAGGCGTTGACGTACCTCCTCTCAGCTAGGAAAACCTCCAGAATTGGCACCTGGAATGCTAGAACCCTCTATGATATAGGGAGAACAATGGAAGTAGCAAAGGAAATGAAACATTATAGAATTAGTATTTTAGGGTTATGTGAAACTAGATGGACTGGGGCAGGGAAAAGTATTCTAAATGCAGGGGAAACTATTTTGCTCTCATGACACACAGAGGAAAATTCGCCCCACAGGGAAGGAGTGGCCCTATGCTATGGAAAGAAGCAGACAAGGCACTAGTAGATGGGAAGCTGTGAGTCCCAGAATAATAAGAGCATCATTTAGAACAGTGAAACAGAAGGTGAACATTTCGGTAATACAGTGTTACGCACCAACAAATGATAAAGATTCATCTGTTAAGGAAGAATTGT